AAGCAGTTTATGAAGCCAACCACATCGGCGGCCGCTTCCCTGATACGCTACGCCGATTTGTTGAATTCAGCAAACTTTCGCACTAGTACTTTGTCTTCGTGAGCTCGATATGTATCTCTCCAACACACGGCGCTACCGCTGCTCGACCTAACCAGTTGCGACGCCTCCATATGTTGTCATGATGGTAACTTCAGGACATGAGGCTAGGGATCGCACCTAGGTTCGGTTTTGCTTACTTTCGTTCCCCTCATCTCCACTAGTGCCCAATTCTGAGTATGAGAACAAGCTCTACAACAAACAGTTTCGCCCTAACCTTGGGCTACCCTTGTCACTCGCGAGGCGATATACCATTTCCGTGCGACGCAAGCATGGTAGCTCCCAGTCAACTTAATATCTTGACCAAAGCCGATGTGCTGACGTTTTCTTATTTATCTAGAGATGGAATCTTTGCAGCGGTTCTCGAGGCAGGCGCCATACTTGGGCGTTTTCACCCATACTCCTACGCGATAAAACGGCATTCTATAGAAAACCTGCTTTTGGATATCCTTCCATCAACATTGTGCATCGAGCTTGTGTCCCTTCGTAAACAATGCCCAAATGGCTAGGAAATATGCGAAGACGGTACAAAGAGTGGTCGTTGAACGTGAGTCTTGGTTATGATGAACATCTTTGACTTGATGCAAAATTTACGATCTTTCTCGTATTGAGATTTCGCTGTGAATCGTTGCGTGCCTAGGTGAGTAGATGACCCCCCCTGTATTTCGTAGAGGGCTGCCCACTGCGTTATCGGCGCTTGTCACAGGCTCTGTTGTCATTTGTCCGTGAACACGCCACGGTCTCCACAATCGGATTTGGTTGCAGGGGATCTTTAGAACCACTCAGATCGGCAAGGGGATAGAAACAGATACGACGTATATCGTCATTGAGCTATAGGAATAATTCGAAACGATCGTGCACGAGTTTTCGAAAAGGTGAGTTGATATATCAAATCTGTCCTGGATAATGAGCTTGAGCGTGCTTATTGTGCTGAGGCGCTGCAATGTATCCCCTTTTGAGCTTTCCGTGTTACAATCCTGTCAACAATAAATATTGGCGGCTAAGGTGGCAAGCGCCGAGGCACTGGCTCAAGCGCTCATGAGCGATCGATCATGTGGCTTCAATAATATCTCCGGGCGGATCATCTTACAGAGAACCGTAGAACGGAGCTTCCACAGGCTTCCCCTGCTCATTCCTTTACTGTGGGCGACGGCCCACGTACACGCTTACACCGGTACCGTTTGTAGGTCGTGCACGCAATGATAGCTACTGCCAATCATCCAAACTTCCACCCCGCCGCCTTAATATTTGAGACTATCGGAACACAGAAAGAACAGGCAAATCGATACGCAGATGAGTAAGGGGAGTAAACCCTACGATCATCGACCGAGAAGGGAGATAGTTGATCATTTCAATTCCACGGAGCAAGAAATGCGCGCAAGTCCGAGGTCGATCTATTGGTGGGGGAATGTGTTTGGATAACATATGCACGTATGTGTGACACGAGGTGGAAGTATATGTACAAGAAAAGTTATGAACAAGGCAACAAGTAAAACAGAAGTAGGATGTAAGTGAACGCAAACGTCGTAATGACAGGAACGGGGGTTAAAAGATAGATGAAGGAAAACCACTGTTCGAACTCATCGTAGTGAAAATGGGAATGTACAAGAACACAAACTAACTGCAGAAATCCTAATACTTGCCAATGAAAAGAGGTGAGGAACAATCGGAGCTAGCCAGAGGTAAGGAGCTGTCAAACAGAGGCTGGAGGATTTTGTCTTCCCTACGACCATACAGTTCACCCGCATCCGTTCCCGTACCGGTTTTAACTTCTCCAGCCAACCGCTGAACCACGTTTTCCGGGGAAAGCCTTGCAGGCTGGTCACTGAACAACGCGGACTGCTGCTCAAACAATGTTGGAGCATACTCCGCATAGTTCCCCATATTACCCATGAATAGATCGCAGTTTTGCAACCCGATAGCGTATGCTTCAAGCGCTTGCGCGTTCCATCTCGTCATACGACGATGCTTCCCTGTCCACAGAGCTATACGCGAAGTGGCTAAGCGAGTTACTGGACCCCATTTCCGTGACTGCACGCTCAACGGGGTGAGCAGGTAGCTCTCGTAAACCATAGGTGAGTACATTTTCGTCCGCGCTCACGTCGGACATATCATGCGGGACACTTCCCGTCATAGGCGGAGGTGACGACGATGATAACTGAGATGAAGAGGAGGGGGCGTAGCCAGAGCCACCCACAGAGCTCATAACGGACCCGGAGGGCGACAATGGTCCAAAATGACCATCCCACCCTTCCAGAGACGACGTCGCGTTGTTAAGAGGGACCTCACACCAGCAGTTGCTGATGGTCTTCGAAAGGTGCATCGAGGTCGACAGGAGACCAGCGGATGGATATGGAAGGGGATATTCGCATTCGGATTGTCCCAGCTGCCATATTCCATTGGACGACTGGAGCATGGGAATCAGCACACTTTCACCGGTTTGAAGCAAGTCGACTTACCTTGTTCTGCTGGTCTACGCAATTCGCCTCGGGTGGCAGATCGGATGGCATAACCCTGTTGCTGCGATAGGCTGCCGAAGGTCCAGTGCTGCATGTGGCGGCAGATGCAGAACCTGCGCTACACAGTCCGATGGTTCTCGAGCAATGACAATCCCGTCGATCAACGAGTATGACCTGCAATCGGGTTGCATCGAAGGAACGAAGGGCGGAGTGGATAGCAGATCTCGCCGGGACGGACGTTGACCGACTACGCCCCGCACTTTCAAAAGTTTGTTCGTGCGTTCGGAGGTCGGACTGAGTGGCATGGCGGCCATGTTCTCGTTGTGAGAGTGGCTAGACGCCGCCACTGAAGGCGGTGGATATTAATGGCGCCCTCGAATGTGATGCCGCTATTTCCCATGTGTTCGAAACTGCTGTCTTGCTCGTCGAGGTTTGCCTCCGCATAGGACGGAACCGATAATGAGGATAAGGCGAGCATGCTCCTCCCTCTCTCTATCAGCGAGACGCTTATACTTGTCTTCTCGGGAGGGCAGTTTCTCCATGCCTCTCCGGCGCGTCTCGAGAGCGTTGAGTGAGAGATTGCTCGTCCAATTCCTGCGAGTTCCGAGCAGCGTGTTTGCGGGTGTAGTTGCAACGAAAGATGATAAAGGCATTGCGGGGTCTAGGAATCCAAGTAGGGTCACGGCTACGATTTCGTTGTGCCCTACGATCCGATGAAGGTGCCATCGGAAAGCGATGAGTGACCAAGACAGGGGAAGAGCCGGTGTGCTGAGCAAACTGTGTACATGATGGCGTGGCTTTATCTTGGGACGTTTCTGATGTATCTTCGGTATGGATTTGAGGTTTGGGGTGGTCAGCCGGACAAGTAGAATTGGTGAAGACAGACTGAGTTGAGACGTATACCTCTTCCTCGTTACCTTTGGTTGGTGACCAACCACGAAGAACGAGTTTTGTCGCAGAGAACTGCATCATTGTCAGGTAAGTGTTGGTGAGAAAGAAGGTATACGTTTGGAACAGGCGTTTCAACGTATGTATGACTGTCGAGACTATAAGGACTCGGAGGTATAGTCAACCATGGTACTGGCGGCGTGTCAGTTGGGACGACGGGACAAAGGGACCTGAATGTCGAAATATGTGGGATTTGACATGTCTCGAGCCCCACCTATCTCTGCGCCGGCCTGCGGTTGGACAGACAAACACCGACGATGGCGTAGGACAGGAACCAGTGAAACGATCTACCATAAATGGAGATCACTTCGATCATGATCGAACCTGTCACTTCAGCTGTCAACGTGGTCGCTTTTATTATGTTTTATGAATGCAAGTCAAAAACTCTCTGCGAACCGACACGTATCGCTTTTTGTCTTTGTCGCTGTCCAGCTGCCACAGAAAAAAAATTGACAGGGAGGTCCGTCACTACTAGATGGCTTGAAATTTGATCAATGCGCAATGCTGCTCTGGACGGAAGCGGATTGATTTTGGAAATTGGCGGGGCCCGGTACCCATGATGAGCCACACAGTCACGTTTTGAAATTTGGAGCACCTACCCAACGAACTTCTTCCGGAATAAACTGACTTTCTGGAAGCGACTGGACGGGGGTTGATGGTTACAAGTCAGTGCGAAAATCTTGAGTTGGAAGTGCTGAAAGGTGCAACTGCATGTACCAGGATCGCCGCGCGCGGCAATTCTCGGCAGCATCGCGCCATTTCAAACAGCGATACCAACAAAATGCTGTTCCGCGCTGCCGCACAGAGCGGAGTGTGAATTTATCGCCCAGCCCGGGGCCCCTATACCACGTTCCGCAACAGAATTTTAGATAGTGCATCTTAAGTTTCCCCAACTTGCTAACCTTGCCTTTCCATGCATTATATTTCCCCAAAAAGAACGAGTTCATAGATTCCTAGGATCTCTCAAGAATGCCACAACACACTACAGCCTATTTCTCGCTTATTGCGGTATGTACATTAGCTATCTCCGATATTGTAGGGTGTGATAGTTTATAGTGTATACCATGTTGCAAGCAAGAAACAAGATAGTCGTGCACTACCCGTTGCGCGATACTACTATGTAAGTACTATAGTAAGTTCTATATCCTCTATAGTAAAATACCTTTTTACACAAACGTCATTGGAGACAAACTGCTTGAAGGCCTGCCTATCTGGCGTCCACATCACACGTCACCTGTCCGTAAGTCCATAATAGACGCCGATCGTGGCAGCTCAACGTGATCGATATGATCCGAGAAGGCGTCCGCATCAAGCTTAAACCAACTCAACAAGGTAACTCTAGCGGAGCAGGCTGTTAGCCATTGAAGATAAAGACCTTTGCAAATCAAATTGTTAGAATTGAGCGTAGTGCTCCAGGAGAAAATGCTAAGCGAAAGCATTAATGCCGTTGCCGCCAGTCAGCACCTCATAGAGCCTCTGCGAAGTGAGTTGCCAACTGGCCGTGTGGCGAAATGGCATCGCGTCTGACTACGACTGAAAAGCAGTCGATCAGGAGATTGTAGGTTCGAGCCCTATCTCGGTCACTTTTTTTCGAAGCGCCTTTGCTTGCGGTTGTACGATGAATGGATCTACATACTGCAGTGATAGACAAGTGGTAGATGATGAATTGATTTACGCGAACCCAGAACTGTCCAATACGCTTCTGGAAACTACACTACCGCGAATAGGACAGTTGACAGTCGTTGAAGGCTGCCTAGTCTCGATGCAAGCAGCAATCCCCTACGTGGTTTTCACTTGCCAAACTATCTTACCATAAGGCGTTGCAGATGTACCCTCTTTCCCTCCAGGTTGTACCCAAAAAGCAACCTCGTAGACACCGGGTCCCCGTTCGGCAAGGTACGCTTCTTCGTCCTCGTCCACCGGCGCGCTCAAAATTAAGCGTGGCCTTAGTACCCCAATCCCAGTGAATGTGGGGTCTCCAGGGACCATGTATAACCCGACGACGAGTGCTCAACTGGGGGATCTCCAACTACTGATGTCAGTTGTGACGATTGAGCATCCAGTGACTCGGCCATCGTGAGTATCCGGACGTGTGAGATTCCAAGTACTCCAGATGGATGTTTAGAGTTCGAAGGCGGGTCAATTGGAACCTGCGAAGCGTTTATTTGGATAAGAATCAGCATACCCGTCTTTAATCCCTCAAATGCTTACCCTCCACTCTCTCGGTGTCACATCGCCACAGAAAAATGGGAGTGTTCCACGCTTTCGTTCCTCATGAGGCGCCGTGATCATCCACTTCAACGTCTTGCCATCCTCCCGCACGCGTCCTCCATCAACCTCAGGATCGTACGCCGCGCCAGATCTATCCAGATCGGCACGTTCATTGATTATGCGTGCGATAGAGACATCGGGATCAGATGAGCCTAGGAAAGCGTAGTCAATCCATCCGGGGTGTTTATACGACCACGGATTCGAGTCGCGCTTTTGGCGATCCGGTGAAGTTGGAGGGTAATGCGAGGCCGGGTGAGTGAAGGAGATAGTTCGAGGTACGACCCGTCGGCTAGGATCTGTTGAGCACGTCATATTCGGTTCCATATCGTCAGGAAAAGCCTTATCGAGAGACACAAGGAGACTTACTACCAATGCGTTCGCTGTTAACCCTCCTGTATGTGTCCCTCCTGGAGTAACGCTTAGAGTGATTCAGTTGACATATAATGTGATAGGATCAGTCATCCTCGTACTTGAACCCAAGATCTCGGAACTGCTGGGACGCCAACTCAACTGTTCCCGGAGGGGTCAGGTGGACGATGTGGTCCAATATCTTTGTCGATGGCTCAGACATACTTCTAGTGTTCAAAAGTTCTGTACTAATACAGAGCTGAAAAGAACCGAACGAAGGATTTGTAGATAAGGGCAAACATAATTTAGAGCGTCCATATCGATGGCGAAATTAAACTTCAAGCGCCTGCGTTGCCCCCCAAGATTTGGGTAATTGAGTGTCCACGATGCAGTCCGTGCATCCGTAAGTGATCTTGGGTGGATTCGCACGTGCAGATTAGCTTCATGCCAAATCTGCAAACCCAACTCTCGACTGTCCCATGTCAAAGACCGTGTAAACGTTCCGAAGGAATGCATCGCCAAGAATCAGGGTATCTGATGGATGACCATGATCGGCCCTTCAATCACAAGCGGGAATAAAGAGGAAACACGCACTGCCTAGACTGCCTGTTGCAGTGAAGGCACCCACACATTGCGAGCTACCGGTAGGGTAGGTTCCAAGGTTGAACGTTGTGGAGGAAAGAGAAAAGGTCGTTCCTCCGATGGTGATGCTGATACTAGGCATCGAATCACAGTCCACTATAATGCATTATAGAAGATGCAGCGATACTATGTAGAAAGGACACACGTGTGTAAAACCCATTTCCAAGATCTGTGGCATTTAATGAGGCGTAGAACGGCCCAATCGTGTCTAGGTCGCCAAGGATGAGTGTTGTACCCGTATCGATGATCGCAGTGAACGAAGATAGAGTCGCGTTCCCGTTGGCACTAATAGAATCTCCGTCGAACTGCCAAAACCCCTGTCCATCAAGTGTCAGCAGTCCATGTCTACAAATCTGACATCACATCGATTCACCTGCTGCGTGACGGGTGTGTATGTCAACGAGCCACTGTACAAATCAGAGTTAATGCCACCTAATCGTAGCTCAGAGCCGGACGAGGCGAGTTTGACAGAGAAAACTGGATCGGAGATGACGTTGTTGTCGATGAGGGTTTGAATGACAGGGTTAGCACCGTATATAGATAGGCTCTTGAAGCCCATGCCCATCAAACCGTCGGCAGGAAAAGTCGGTGATTGTAGATTTGAAGAGTATTGCGTAGCTGCGCCGAAAGTTTGATTGGTTGCCTGAGGTGCTGTTAGGCATTGGCATTACGAGGGCAGCAGGATGCGTACCGTATAGCCTGCTATGACAACGGTGTCGGTGTACTGTTCACCTTGAACAGAGGAACCATCTCCGTAGGAAAGCATGAAGGTCTGACCCAGACTCGCGGCAGTCGAGCTGGTGTTTGGGTTGTACAGCGTATGACCATTGCATGTTGAATCACAGCTGGATGAAGGTAGGACTAAATCGGCGGAACCAGTGTCGAAATCCACTGTGTTGACTCGATCATATCGTACATAAAGCAGAGCGCAGGAAAGTACCAACCCAGAAAATCAACTGCGGGTGTACCAACTGAGATGGTACCATACCACAGCACATTGTTCCCATCCGTAAGAGGGATACTGCCTGAATCGCGTCGAGTGGGATGTACAGCCGGTGTATCAGATATCGGGCCAAGAGAACGGAGCCTTGATGATATTTTCCTGGTAAATTCAGATAAGATTGCGGGTATACAGGTGGCGGTGTCGAATCCCATACGATTCTGAGAAAGCAAGATGTGAAATAGCCTTGTCGATGTCAAATGCACCATCGACAGTGGTCAAAGAAGACCTCCTCCTGAGCGGGATGGAGACGAACGAAGGATGTGGAAGGGCAGCCACCAGGACTCTCAAGGCTGCGAAGAGAATAAAGTGGGATAAGGGACACATACCGGACGAGACAATCGAACCGAATAAATGAGTCGCATATGCATGAGGCCTTGGAGCCCTTTATACCAGCGCCGCAGCAGAGCTGGCAGTGCTCGCATGGTGAAGCAGGGTGGATGGCTCATGTCCGCTAAAATTAACAACAGGCGGTGTGGATATCCATACCGTCGCATTACGCCCGTCCACGGAGAACAACGGCCTATCGCCTTTCGTAAAGAAAAGTCATTATGCAAAGGGTTGCATAATTCGTGGGGCACCTACATACTGAATTCGAGAGTTGTCAATGATTGGAACTTCGATGTCGTGGTCACCCGACCAGTGGCATGCGTAATATTTCACGCGGTAACTGCAACCCGAGTCGGGTACGGAGCACGTGGCCACTTAACCGGTCTTCTCCCCCTTCTCACTCTACAGCCTGACCATCGACCTGATCACCCCAACGCAAGACATTCCTATGGCATCACAGTGTCAGTTGTGGTCCTTCCGCTTAGACGGTGCAGCCCGAGGCGTGTTGTTTGACGTCGCTTACGACCACCCTGCAGCTCCAGATCTGTCCTGTTCAGACACTCTTCAACGTGGGAGGTAAAATAGGTGCGTAGATAATGCGAGTGTTCTGGTGAAAATGGGGCTACTAATAGAGCCCACGTTTCATCACCGTGTCGACTGCTTGCTCATTCTCGATTCACCTAGCCCTCGTGACCGGCGGAGGAACGGGAATCGGAAAGACAATCGCCTCTGCACTCGCTTTGAACGGTTGCAAGGTATACATCGCAGCTAGGAATGCAGCTCGACTCAAGGAAGTAGGTTTGGAATTCCTTTGGGGTCAGCTTCCTATTCATGTTTTGTCAGGCAGCAGAGGAAATAAACGCACAAGTACCGGGCAGTGTGTACCCCATCGCTGCGAATCTCAGCGTACGTGGAACGACTGCTCGTTTTCGCTCATCCCTCGTCTCATCCGGCAACCTATAGGACAAAGCCGGCGTCGATGCTCTCATATCCACCCTTGCTGCGCTAGAGCCATCAAGAAAGCTCCACATTCTCGTGAATAACTCTGGCGTGGCATGGGGTGCGCCCTTCGATGCCGTTCCAGAGCAGAAAGGCTGGGACAATGTCATGGCAGTTAACGTGAAGAGCGCATTCTACTGTGAGTGTATCATATTCCCTTGCAGGTTGGCTTCAAGTTCCTCATTAGGTTATGTGTCATTGCGTAATGCACAGTGACCCGCAGGGGTGAGTTTCGTCAGTAACGTCTATGTGCGATACCGCTAATGATACGTCGCGATCCGCGAATAGGCTGTCATCGTGGCTTGCGAAGAATTCCACGGCATTGGATCCTGGCCGTGTGATTAACATTTCATCGGTCGCAGGCTACTCGCCCCACTCAGAAGGTTTAGTGAGCGCTGAGGGACATGGAACTTATAGTTGTTAGTCCTTTCAGGCTTGAAACTGTGTGTTCTGGCTACATTTTCAACTTGTCACAGATAACGTCAGCAAAGCAGCGCGTTAGTACCTGGTGCGACCACGCCTTGACAGCGCTGATCGATGTCCTTCCTATTCAGTAAACCACCTCCTTCGGTGTTGGCAGCCAAATTGGCTCCAGAATTGGGTCACGTATGTCGCCCATATTCAAATTTTCTCGTACATTTCTGTTAATTTGAGATGTACAGTGTCAACGCGATTTGCCCCGGGTACGTCACTGCATTTGTATCATCGCCATTCTGGTTACTGACATGCTTTCTAGGATGTTCCCAACTAAGATGACATCCTTCGCTTACAAAACAGCAGGTGAAGATGGTATCACCGCACGACAGCCCACCGGTACGCATGATTTGTCCGCACGGACAGACCCAAGGCTCAACGTTGTCTTCTTAGGCCGGTTCGGTATACCATCTGATATCGCAGGTGTCGCTATCTTCCTCTCCTCACCTGCAAGCGCCCACGTCACAGGTGCACACATCGTACTCGATGGCGGTTCCACGCTCTCGACCCACGGCATCG